AAAAAAAAAAAGAAAAAAGAAATATAAAGGAAGTTGAGCTTATCTGTCAAAGAAAATTCATTTTCTAACGTCACCAGGTTAATCTTCCGAATTATTCTTCCGGCTGGTATAGCAGCCCGGAGGTGTATGTCCATCGGTCTATCGCTATTCACACTCAATTTCCAAACTTTCTTGAAAGATCGATCGAGTCCCATCAGCTTCTTCGTCCGGTTTGTTCCCTTCTTCGCACCTCCCTTTTCTCCTTCCCTCCTTCTTCCCTTTTCACTCGACGTAATCCTTGTTTAGGTGTGTATGTAACAACCATAACCAAGGGACATCCCCCTACCATCAGCTTAAATAAAATTAATAAAACATGTTCATGGATCTTTAACAAGTGTTAGAATTTATTCCTGTTAATGCGAGTGTACAGGTTGATTCAGTCAATGTTTGCATAATAATTTAGAAGATATTAACGAGCTTGAGAGAATAAATTAGTTTCTAGAAGAGCAACGATGTAACAGCAAGCATTTTTGAACAAGCCAGTCAATATATTTGACAAACAAAGATAAAAGGTGTGATTATTAATTTATGATAAAATAATCGATGAAACACAAAATTGATCATTCTTAGAACAATACATTTCGAGATTTTTTCGAATTGTTGTTCTAATTGATGTTTTTCGTTAATTGTTCGAAAGTTCAACTTAAGCTGGGTGTTTTGAAGTTGCCAAACGATGTAAATCAAGCGATCGGCTTTGTTCGTTGCTTTGAAAGAGAGATAGTTTAGCGATGTTTCTCCTAGAACTATTCCGGTACACGAGTAATGCAACACTTTGTTCTTGTCTCTCTCTCTCTCTCTCTCTCTCTCTCTCTTTTCCTCCTTATCTAACTCTTTTTCTCTTTCTCTCTTTTACTCTCGCTACGTTATATCGTTGAAGCAAATTATTAATCAATTCCGAACCTCGAGAATGTCCTCTCAGACAGAAGCAATCTTCCTTAATCACGACGAAAGTTACAGTTAAAATCGCATTCTTGAAATTTCTCTTCATGTGTCTACCGAGAAGCTTAGAAAGAGAGAGAGAGAGAGAGAGAAAGAATGAGAGCTAGGGATATTACTAGTGATGGTTCGTGGGGTTAGAAAACAAGGGTTAGAAGAGGATATACACTTGCAAACATACAGGGTTGACTGAAAAGAGCCTCCTGACGTGTACCGGTAATAAATGTGGTCTCACGCATCGGCCAACCTTCTATCTCACGAAGAAAGGGTGGATGAGGGGGTAGAAGGAGGAGTAGTGGGTGAAAGAAAGGATGGTGGAATGGATGAAGGAGGAAGGTGAAGTGGAGGGCTGTGAGATAAGCTGAAATCCCATTATAGTTCGTTGTTGGATTCTCTTGGTATCCACCGAACAGTCTGAAGTCATGTCTCTAGTTTCTCTCGGTCTCTCTCTCTCTTTCTCTTTCTCTTTCTCTTTCTCTTTCTCTTTCTCTTTTTGGTAGAAGTGGGAGAATGAGAGCAGCCCCGTTTTGCAGTTCCAGGATAATGGCCAGGGCGGTGTCGGACTTTAAATGACTGTTTGTGCTCGCGGTTCGTAAATTATGCCAACCCCTTTAGGGACACACCCGGTATATATATTTTAGCTACGTATGTACATATGTAATACGTAGCTAGCTTGATACTAGTGTACGTGGCTAAGAGAACAATATTAACGTTCCTCGTCTGGTGTATCCTAGTCCTAGTCCTAGTTCTCGTCGTTATGGCTCATGCTTTGAAGATTATTATAATGTATATAGAGTTTATTTTATCCTTAAAATAATATTTTTCAAAAAGCCCTTTTTTGATAGTTTTACATCAAACATGTGCATGTATGTACTAAAGTGAATACTTCATTGTAATTCTAAAGTGAACAAATTCGTAGATAGTATCGTAAAAAATAAATAGAGATAGATGAATATAAAGAAGAGAAAAACGTTTTTCTTTTTTTTTTTCACTTGGACGGAAATTGTCGTCTGTTCTTCTTTCAATTGAGAAATAGTCAGCAAAAGAAGGAACCTAACACAAACGGAGACTCGACTGGGAAACTTGGCAGGACTAAAGAGATATACTGA